CACTTTTTCCATGACGTTCTTATCAGCTAACCCCAGTACCAACTTTACTGTTGAAATCAGTCTTGTACAGACCTATACGTGATCCGTTGTGAAAGCTGATATTATGATTCATTTCTCGCGCTCTGTTGCTACAGACACTTTGCTTCAGCGAAATGAGTCTCTGTAGTCTAAAGTAAGAGGCAGGAAAACTACATTAAATAGATACTTTCTTTGGAGTCGGGAACTATTGTTGAACAAGAACAAAAAATACAACAACAACAAAAAAACAACAACAACCCAAAAAACAATTCCATTGTAAAAATAATCTTTCTTGCTAATCATTTACTGGATAGACAGTCATATGGAGGGCAGATACACATACTGGTTGGCAGACAAATCATTAGCCTCAAAATGATTATACACATAATATGAGCAGAGGTCAAGCAAACGGAAAAATACAATTTTTCAACTTAGTACTAGTACAACTATGATTTCATTTTCCTTTGATTCCGTTTTCCAACCAAATTTGTCCCCAACTCGTTCATTTGGAAAGTCCAACTCAGCATTGAATTCCTAAATCACCAAAAAGGTGTACACATTAACTGAATTTAGTACGTTATTTCTTGGAGAGGTGGGAGGAGGAAGTGTGTGTGTGTGTGTGTGTGTGTGTGTGTGTGTGTGTGTGTGTGTGTGTGTGTGTGTGTGCGTGTGTGTGTGTGTGTGTGTGTTGGGGAGGGGGGGGTTCAAGTCTTTCTAGAAATGAAGAAAATTGATTTTTAATAAAATTCCCAGCAAAAAGTTTATTTCTCAAAATAAAAACAAGCTAAAAAAAATTAAATTAAATTGTATGAACCTCTGCAATACAACACATGTAACAGAGGTACTCATTTCGATAAAATGTCATTATACGTAGGTATCGATGTCGCTAGTGATATCTAATCTGTACATTGAGCCGTCCGTCTGTTGTAGGGCGGATCGACTACACGATCCCACGCGTGTGTTCCAGGCTTAGAGACAGTAATAGATCTCTTCAAACGATACTATTCTGCGACTCGTTCCTGCAACACGTGTAATGAAGATCAGAAATAGCATAACGTTACATGACCAAGTCTCCATGACACCACATGTATGTCTTTGGAAAAAAAATCTACAAAAAGAATTTTGTCTGAAGAGAAACAAAAACAAAGAAAGAAAGAAACATAATAAATTTAGATGTATTGCAATTAGTTTAGGAAATTTTGGGATTTTTACTTTTTGTTAGTTTGTCAGTTTCTTTAATTTGTATTATTATTATTATTTTTATTATTATTATTATTATTATTATCATTATTATTGTTATTATTATTATTATTATTATTATTATTATTATTATTATTATTATTATTATTGTTATTATTATTATTTTTTTTATTATTATTATTATTATTATTATTATTATTATTATTATTATTATTATTATTATTATTATTATTATTATTATTATCATTATTATTATCATTTTCATTATCATTATCATTTTTATAATTATTATTTTTAATCTTGTCTTTTTTGTATTATCGTTATCAATTTTATTCCGAACGTCAGTTATGTAATAATCATAACTATTATGGTTGGTACTACGGACCGCATTATAATTATTACTTTCATCTCTGATATTATGATTCTCATTATCACTGATACGTCTATAATTTAGAAAGGGACAATTTGATAGATGCACATTTTCTGAAGAAAATTTAAAAATTTAAAACCCCCATAAGGTGAATGTCAGAAAGTATCTAAATCATTAATATTTAAAGAAATATTATTGTTCAGAAAGATAGAGGCGTTAGGTCATGATAATGGTTGAGCAGCCCCCCCCCCCCCCCCAAAAAAAAAACAACAAAAAAAAACAAAAAAAAACAAACAACCGCGTTCACCTTGAATGTAAAACAAAGTAACAGTATGTATAATTTCTATAAAGTATTATCCCTTAGGGTAGATATTGAACGACATGTATTATATTCTCAACCCCCTAGATAGAGTATGTGTTTGGGAATTGTTTGACTTTGGGTCAAGTGGTCATAGCAGCGAGCGAGGCGGTTGTAAAGGGGGGGGGGGGGGTTCGTTGAAGAGAAGTTCCGCCACACACCAGGAAGAGCTGTCATCTTCCCTTGTAATCTGTCCTGTCCGTCATTTGTTCGTTTATGAATTTTATGTGTACAGTGCGTCTGTGTGTACGGCGGTGACCATTAGTCTTTGTTTTCCTGACGGCCGTCGGGGACGCCCGGCGCCTGGTCTCACCGCTCTGTGGTTTTCTCTGTCTGTTAGTCTGTTGTTCTGTCTGCCACTTTCTCTCCCTTCGCCTTTTGTCCTCACTCACTCACTCTCTCTTGCTCTCTCTTGCTCTCTCTCTCTTCTCTCTCTCCCTCTCTCTCTCTCTCTCTCTCTCTCTCTCTCTCTCTCTCTCTCTCTCTCTCTCTCTCTCTCTTTCTCTCCTCCTCCATTCTTTCTCTCTCTCTTTCTTTCTCTTTCACCCCCCCTCTCTCTCTTCTTGTGTCTGTCTGTCTGTCTGTCTGTCTGTCTGTCTGTCTGTCTGTCTGTCTGTCTGTCTGTCTGTCTGTCTGTCTGTCTGTCTGTCTGTCTGTCTATCTACCAATTTCTAAACTAGCCGGTCTTTCTGTATCGCTGTCTACCTATATTCGTTCGTGTTCCTTCTTTTCTTTGTTTCTCTTGTGTATACTGTCAATGCCTTCTTGCTCTGAATTTTCAACGTGCTTGCTTTATCGGTCTTTTTAAAAATCTTGAAGTTTAGTTTGAGATGAACATTTTCCGTCCTCTTTCCCAACCCACATTGTACTAGCATCAAATCACGCTTGTAGCTTGCAACAATATAGCTAATTCTAACAGAACAATAGCAACATAGAAAAAAAACCCCAAAGAGTTTGAACCGGAGAACCCACCAATCACCCGCCTTTTCCATGTACACCTCTTTATATAAATACAGCCAGTGACAAACCCATTCAATCATTCTTCTTTAGTGCACGCACTGATTTTTTAGCTTTGTGTCTATGGTAGTTATCGATACGTTTGACATGCCTTTTTTCTTTTGTTTTGGAGAGATGGGGAGGGGGGGGTCTATCCGAGTATTCGATTACAGTGTTAAAGAATATTAACTTGGACTAGATAATAATTATTACAACAAACAAAAAGTAAACAAACAAACAAACAAATATACTTCATGACAGGAAAAAAGAGAATGAAACCTTAAGAGCTTCGGAGATAGATAGTGAATGGAACCTGTCCAAAAGTGTGAAATTTCTCCTACAGTTTTTACCCGTCGCGTACACAAGAGCTACACAAAAGCAGAAACGTGAACATCCGGTTAAGAGCCTCATTTGAACCTGGAGAATCGCGTGCAATCTGTTGAAATCGATATTACACTATTCACTGTTGTGGGTATCGACTTCCGCTTGGAAAAACACCTTTCATCGATTATTTCACAGCATAATTTGATCTGTTCCTGATTCGTTTTTTGTTTTTTTTCGTTGTTAGTAATACTTTACCTGCATATTATATCAATCAGCACTTATCAGCAGTATCTCGTAAAAACATAGATTATGAACTGCAGAGTATAAAATGAAAACAGAAGTTAGACATTGTGTCCCGTTTCTCTTCTTTTTCATCTCTTTGGGTTTTATCTTTTTGCTCTTTAATTTCTTTTTTTTTTTTTTTTTTTGTAGGGGGGGGGGGGGGGAGGTCACTCAGTGTATTTTTCATACAAAATTACGACAAAAGCTTTTTACAAAATACCAAATTGCTGACTCTCTAAGTACTGGACTGGGTGAGGTTGTTCCATTTATCATTAATCACATTTATAACAGTGCTAAAAATGAATATAAAAAACATAACACGACAAAGAGTGAGAACAAATCAAACTGATATTTCATTCAGTTGCAAAAGGCAGTCTTAGAATTAATTAATCTTACATTGTCCCAGTTAGATTCGACATTAAGATTACCGCAACAAAAACTTTGCAGAAAAAAATAAATTATCAAATAATAGCAACGGCACCTACAACATCGTCAACAAAGACATTAAAAAAAAAGACGAAAGTGCTACCCCCGCCCCTCTCCCACTAATAATATAATAAAATACATCTCCAACAACGACGGCCGCTACAACAGGAACGATATAACAAAAACAAAAATCAACTCTTGGTATCAATATCATTTGCTTATCGTATCATGACGAGGAATTGTGTCTTGGGCATTCTTTAGGTGACACATCCAAAAGCTCAGATATTGTTTTTGATTCGATTGATACCCACTGGCGCACTATCAGGTCCTTTTGTCTCCGTTATGCTATGCGTATTTTCTTTTATCTAACGTGTCGCAAGTGAACATTAATCTTCTTCAGGTGGCATTCGTTCGTTTTTATCATTTTCATCTGACGTTTCGAGGAGTTGTATTGTTAGAAAACAGAGACAACTTATTCGAGAGGGGAAGGGGAAAGTAAGGTTGGAGAAGGCAGTGGGGTTTGCTGTGTGATATTATTAAATATGTACACGTATTTTAGATTTTGTTAGAGAGATTGCATTGGTTAAAGAATGTGTACAAGAACGGTCGGGGTCGACGGTAAAACTACAATGTAGTTACAAAAACAAATTAACAGACTTATGAATAAGCAAACAAACAATCAATCAAACAAACAAACAAACAAACATACACATAAACAAACAAGCTGTTGATTGTTTTATATTTTAAATTTTATCGAAGGGGCCTTATGTACTTTTTTTTTCGTAACTGATCAAGGCATTCAATTGATAGATATGTATGTTTTTAGATTTTTATTTATTTATGTACTTATCCCTCATATTTCAAGTCTTTGGAAAGTTTGATTGTCTAGAAACGATTGTGTATCCATTATAAATGTCTAATCTTTTGCACATAAGAAAAGTTTACGCTTCACCGCCTTGTAAATCCGATTTTGTACAATTAGAATAACTAGCATTAATATTCTGTCATCTCTTTCATCTATTTCAGACTCCAACGACGCATCCAAGACAAAATCTGACGACGGTAACGATGACGACAAGAAGAAGAAGCGCCAGAGACGACAGCGCACCCATTTCACCAGCCAGCAGTTGCAGGAGCTGGAGGCTACCTTTGCCCGGAACCGCTACCCGGATATGGCCACCCGGGAGGAGATCTCTGCCTGGACCAACCTCACTGAGGCTCGTGTTAGGGTGAGTGACGTACTGGCTGTTTGTTTGTTTGTTTGTTTGTTTGTTCGTTATTTTTTTGTTCATTTGTTCTTTCATTAGTTCGTTCGTTCGTTCATTTGGGGATGAGGGTGATGGGTTTCGCTAATTGTTCTGGGGATCCAAGTTGGAATTCTGCTAGGGTTATACTGGGTCGTGTCTTTTTTCCACGTTAAAATTTTTTAATTGTTTTTTGTTTGTTATTGTTGTTTCTGCTCTTGTTCTTATTATTTATGGCTGTGCTTGCAGGGAACCAAACACCAAGCACCTACAATATTTTTACAAAAAACCCAAACGGATTAAGGGTAGAACAACGAAATTCCAAATATCGATATCGAGTTTGTCAGTTTAATAACTTTGACATGTATTGTTGTTAACTTTTTGTTGTTGGAAGAAACGAAATAGACAAAAAGGGAAATGTGTTCGTAGACACAGCTACCGACACTCTCTTCCATTTTCCCATCTTTCTCTCATTCACTCATCGTTTGTTCTGTCACCCTCCTCTTCCCCCCCTCCCTTTCTCACCGCTCTTTACACACAACCACAGACAGACACACGCACACACATACACACAAACACACGCATACACACACACACACACACACACACACACACACACACACACACACATATTACACTTTTTTCCTTGTGGGTGGAAGACAACGTGTACGCAAAGGGTGTAACGTCACAATTCTTTGTTTCTTCTCTTCGCTCATGGTTTCTAATTTCGAACATCTGAATTCTGCTACATCACCAAATTCCTCCATAATTCTGGTATTCCTAAACATCAGACTGTAGACTTATAGTCTTCACCGGGAATGCAGCAAGAGTATAGACACATTTACCCATTCTTTGGTGGGTTTCAAAGTGTAGCTGGAGATTAGAGGACAAGTTTTCTATAAATTCCTGCACTAAAACGGTGAATGTAGGCCGAGCTTAACTGGTGCGAAGCTGAAGACAAACAGAGCGGAATCTGTCGGGGATTCTCACTGTTGACAATGGCCCTTGAACGTTTGCGGCAAAAATCTAAGTTGGCCGAACTTTTGGTCTGTTGGTACAAGGGGAAAACCAGGCAACGCCAAAAGGGGGAAAGAACAAAAAAGAAGAAAAAAAAAAGAAGCTAAACTTGGCTTGAGCTGACAGGAAACGGGGAAAAGTGAAAAAAAAATGTACTTGTCGTTTTTCTACTTTATGGGAACTGTCTATTTCTTCTTTTCTTTTATATGCTTAAGGGACGTGGGGAGGATACAAAAAAGGAGAGGGGGAGGGGAGAAGGGGCAGTTAGAGAGAGAGAGAGAGAGAGAGAGAGAGAGAGAGAGAG